GTCTTCGTCAGATATAATTTGCAAGAATGTTCTCCCATTTTGTGGGTTGTCTTTTTGCCTTCCTTGGGGTGATTTATCTTTTATCATTGCTTTTACCTCTTTACCTATTTGTATCTTTATATTGAAGGTAGTTTTTTTTGCATGCTGTATATAGTTGAGTCTTCATTTTTAATCCAATCTGATAACATATAACTTATAGTTTGTGTGTTTATACCCTTTATATTTCATGTCAGTATTGATATAGTTAAAATCTATCTTTTCTTGTGTTTGTCCTCTTTCTGCTTTCAATTAAATTAATTGGGTATTTTTATGATTCTATTTTGTTTTTTTTTTTTTGACTTATTAATTATAAATTTTATTTTGATGGATACTTTAGGGTTTATACATTTTTAACTTATTCTAATCTATCTTCAAACAGTATTACAGCACTTCACGTATAGTTTCAGAGCCTTATGATAGTATATTTTTATTTCGCCTTTTCTGGTCTTGGTGCTATTTTTATCACACATTTTACATCTACTACCTTATTAATGCCATACTATGTTGTTTTTTGTTTAGACAGTTGATTGTCCTTAAATTTAAATAATAAGAAAAAAATTTTCTGTTTGCCTACATGTTTGACATTTTCAGTGTCCATTGTTTTGTGTAGATCTAGAGTGTTATCTGGTATCATTTTCCATCTGCCTGATAGACTTCTTATAACATTTCTTATAGTGCTATAAAGAAAAATATAGATATAAATGACTACATAAATATTAAAAACCTTTTAGTGAAGGGTACCATAAACAAATTTTTTTTAAAAGTCTGGGAAGAAACATTTACAACATAACAGTGTAATAATAACAGCAGTATATAATGATAATAATAACAGCAGTTATTAAAATGTGTACTGTGCTATACCAGGCACTATACTGAACACGTTACCATGTATTTTCTCATTCAATCCTTACAACATCATTTGAAGGTAATGACTGTTATGACTCCCATCTTACAAATAAGGATATGAGATTAACAGATAAGTGACTAATGTCTGTAACAATAAGAGACAAAAAAACAATGAGAACGTAATTTTAATTGGCAATTCTTAGAATGTGAATGACTTATAAATATCATACTTAACCGCTCTCGTCATCAGAAGAATAAGGTCATTTTTAAGCTCTTCTCAACTGTCAAGAGTAAGAAGCAATGTTACTAATACTGGCAAGAGATGAAAAAACACTCATACATTATTGGAAATATAAATTGGTATACCTTTTCAGAGGGCCATTTAGCTTTAACTGTTGACATTTAAAATATGCATATCTTTTGACCAGATTACTGTCATCTGGAATTTCTTGTACAAGTTCTCAAAGTAAAACTTTCTCTTAAATTGGTACACTTTCTTGTGGGGGGAGTTTTCAATATAGGAATCAAAAGTCTTCAGTCGGGCTATGTCCCATCCCCCCTTGCGTATGCTATATAATGTAGTGGAAAGAAAAATATTATAGAAAAATATATGTGTCAGAACCCAATTAGGTTTTTTTTAAAGGATATATGTATTTACATATTTATATGTGCCTAGAAGAAGGCTTAGAAAGATGCACACCAAATTATTAGCATTGATTATTCCTGGATAGGAAGGATTTTGACTTTTTAAATCTCCCTATTAAATTTTATGATAGCTTTTGTAATCATTTTGAATTTTAAAAATTTTAAGATATATTAGCTGTAATTGCCAAGAACGCATAGAGAAATTGACTAAAAAGAAGCAAGACTCTTTTTCCCCAAGGGTTTCTAAACCAAATGGATCAAGGTTCTTTTCCCCTAGGATTAAATCAAATTTTATTTTTAAAGACAAGTTGCTGGATTCTAGTTGTAGAGCTCAGTAGAATTTTAAAGAACTGAACTGTTAAAAACCCTCCTGTTTCACAATACAGGACCACAGTAGCTAGTAAGCTCTAAGATATTTCAACTGATATAAAAAATTAAGAATGACATTTTATTCATTTATCCATTCATTCATCCATTCATTCAGGTCAAGTAGTGAGTACTATATGTTAATATCCAAGAAAGTAAAATCAGCACCTTGCAGCAGCTCATTAACAACTGGTAACACATAGATGTCAGTGTTCCAGAGCTTTAAAAAAAAGTACTGATACATTTGAAGACCCCTCCACTAGAGATAAGATGGAGCACTGTATGCATATTACCAATGACAGTCACCCAATAAATGCAAACAGGCACATCACCCTCATTCATGGGGTAGTTCCATCATACTTGTAGTGAAGATCAGCTGCATTGTCACTGGAAACTTGGATCCAGCCATCCTGCACATGGTAGAGGTTAGCATCACCTCCTGAGAAGGCATCTATGCAGGTGGCTTGGTAGCTCACTTCGTGAGCCAGATCATAGGCCTGCTCCATTTCTAGGTTATAGGAATAGCCCTGAGTCATGGCCCCATAAGCATACACAGAGCCAGAACCTACAGAGAAGGTGGCCCCCGAGATCCAATTCCCTTCAGTGTCCATGTAGCAGAGTCCAGAGTCTCTCTTATCCTAGCCACAGATCATGGACAGCCCCATGCCTTTGTACTGATACAACATGTTGGCAAGCAGCTTGGAGACAGCTGCTACAGAGATGCATTCCTTATTTGAAAGCTCATACATTTGACATTGCTGAGCAACAGCCATTCTCAGAAGCTAAAATCTACTGTGTCCCTAGCCATGATGGCTTCAGGTAGAGGTTGATCTCTGTCACCTTCTTAACCATGTGGAGGCAATGTAAGCACTCACTTTAGCCCTATAGTTGGCTGAAACTATGACTTCATGGCAGAACTTGAAGGCCAGGGTGGTGGTTCCATGAAGCATTCTGATTTTCTGCTCTTCTGAGACTCCCAGCTGGGCATGGCCAGGCTCAGCCCATCACTGGGACTCGCTGGACCCAAATCCAGCAGATCTGCATTAACTGTAAGTCCAGAAAACCTGCACTGGTTTATGAGTAGCAGCCTCTCCAACAAGCTGGCCAATGCCATGTTTAGTGTGGACAAAAGAAGCAATAACATTTTAAATTGCATGACTGCAAAAGAGTTTTTGTTGTAGGTTGTTGTATATTTGAAATTGTGACTGGACTTACAGTAATGAAATATGTGCAGTAGTTTTGCAAAGGGAAATAGGAATACATGCTCACTCAAATGTTGACCATATGATGCATTGATTATAGAATATTATAGAAAGTCTACTTTTATCACATGTTCTCATATTTTAATACAATCTTCTAATAACAAAGCATGCTGCCTCTCTGTAAAATATCTAGAAAAATTCTTTAACTAAAAGGGTGAGATGGGTAAGTTATGTGGAAAACTTTTTATAAATTAGAATTTTAAAATTCATTGTTAGGAGACAAAGAAGAAATCATTTATTCTTTCTAGTGGACAAATACTGTTTTGTAATAGGTCTTGAATGAAGTCACCTGAGAGTTTTCCAAGTAAATGTTATGATCTGAGAGATTTTTTTCATTTGTTAAAGAATTGTTCTGGTAAACTATTTGTTTTTGAATTTTTTATCTGGAAAAATATTTGAAGCCAAATATTTACTAGACATCATGCAAATTGAATATTTGGTACATTGGTTTCCATTCTGTGTTAAGCACTTAGAAATTTTCCTTTCTGATAATCAAAATCACCCAGATCCACAGTAATATTTTTGTATGAACAATAGAAATCTCTATTTACAGATTTATTTAAAATAATTACTAGAGGGCAGGCATGGTGTCTCGACCTATAATCCCAGCACTTTGAGAAGCCAAGGCAGGAAGATCATTTGAGCTCAGGAGTTTGAGACTAGCCTGGGCAACACAGCAAAATCCTGTCTCTACAAAAATTAACTGGGCATGATGGCATGCACCTGTAGTCCCAGCTACTTAGGAGGCTTAGGGTGGCAGGATCACTTGAGCACAGGAAGTAGAGGTTGCAGTGAGCCAAGATTGACCACTGCACTCCAGCCTAGGTGACAGAGTAACACTGTCTCCAGAAAAATAAATGAAAAATAATTATTATTAGAGAAAAGTTGAACAGTAATAAAATTTAAGCCCTATCATCTATTATTTTCTATATGCATAGAGAAAAGTGAAAGAATATGCTTATTTTGGGAAAATGCATATAAATTAGAGCTATTACATAAATCACACTTTACAAAGTTGTTTCTATATCTAAGGAAAATGTTTTTACATGGCATTGTATTGCACTCCATAGTAAATATGAAGATAATATAAACACTTTGATATAACTGGATGCCAGGAGTCGTTCTAACTGTTTCATGCACTGTTTCATTTCATCTTAACAACGTATGCTGTAAATACTCTTATTACACAGCTTACAAATGAGGATCTGAATCTTAGAAGTTATGTAACTCACTCAAGGCCACAGAGCTGCTAAATAACAGAGCCAGGATTTGAACCTAGGTAATCTAGCTCCTGAATCTAAGCTTATAAATACTTTGCCTCTAGAGTAGGAGTCAAGAGGGAAGACATAGCTGTGCAACATATGATGCTTCTATTATCTGAGAGATTCTTGGCAATATCTGCCCAACCATCTATGAGGGCAGCTGAAGTTCTGTTGTTATAGATTCATTGCTTTGAGTTTATGAGACTTTCCAGTTAAAATGCAGATATGCATTGAAAAGTAATACATGTCCAAACAAATAATGACAGTGTCCAGGAACTCAGGTTCCATGACTATAGAGTAGTAAATGAGGAAGAAGGGGTGGATTTGGAAACTCCATAGAAAAGAAGAGAAGCCAGCAACCAATGAGCCTACAAAATCAGAGGATTTTGCCAAAAGTTGCAAAGGGATAGCCAACAATTTTTTAATGACAGTACTATAAACAATAAAATGTGGAGATTTTTTTCATATAATTTCACTGTGTACCGTTTACTACCTCCTTTTAATCTAGGAAATACTACAGAGCCGATGCCACAGAGCATTGATGTTTATATTAACAAAATGCCTTTCCTTTGGCACACAGCAACCAGCAGGCCTTTTTACTGGAGAACGTCCCTTGTAATAATGCAAGTTGTGAAGAGGCGCATCGAATGTTTAAAGTCTACTGGGAGCTGACAGACCTAAATCAAATCAGGGATGCCATGGTTGCCACCTTCTTTGACATTTACGAAGATGTGAGTTCAGAGCTGTGCTGTGTGTTTGAAGTTTAATTGCCGTTCACCTTGTTACACTTTAACTTCACTCCATTTGACCAGAAAATGTGGACAGCATAACAAAAGCAAATGAGTTAATTAAGGAAAGCCCCTTTTAATGTTAAATGGCAGATGGAACAAATCTATTGACAACATTAGCTGATCAGTACACTCAAATATGAAAACTCTTATATCATTTTGTGCATATTTGAATTAAACCACTAAAGCATGCTCTAAGACTGACAAATCTGAATGTTCAGCAGTAGACAAAATTACAGCCAACAGGTAACAGACCCTTGAATCTGCACAAGATCACAGAAGAATGAGTTTAGTGTTCACTTTTATCTTTGTGAACCAGAGTAGCATCTGTTTCCACAGATTCTTGTGACTCTGACTTTGGTTGCCAGGTTACCTTGTGAAAGGCTTTCAAGGTTCCAGTTTTCCTGTTTCTTTCTTTTATTTATTTATTTTGGTTTTGTTTGTTTGTTTGTTTTTTGAGACAGAGACTTGCTCTGTTGCCAGGCTGGAGTCAATGGTGTGATCTCGGCTCACTGCAACCTCCACCTCCTGGGTTCAGGCGATTCTCCTGCTTCAGCTTCCTAAGTAGCTGGGACTACAGGTGCCCGCCACCACGCCTGGCTAATTTTTTATATTTTTAGTAGAGACAAGATTTCACCATGTTAGCCCAGATGGTCTCAATCTCCTGACCTCATGATCTGCCCGCCTCAGCCTCCCAAAGTGCTGGGATTACAGGCGTAAGCCACCACTGCTGGCCCAGTTTTCCCCTTTGTAAAGTGAAATGTCAGTTTACCACAAAAATAATAAATTGTGAAAAAAGCAATGTTAAATTCCAGAATTTATGTATCACAGTATATCCTTGTAAGATAATTTATTTTTGAAAGTTCAATGCCCAATAGGACATTTATGTCTCCATTTACCCCATTTTGGATTTTATTTTGTTTTGTTTTTTATAAGAGGCTTATTCTCAATTATATGAATTATTCAGGTCCTTGTTTTCCCCTGTTTCTCCTGCAATCAAGTCTTGCATTATTTTACTTTTCATTAGCAGATTCCAAGCATAAAATTGGCAGAAATATCACAAGGGGACCAAGCAAGAAAATCGATTTTTAATTTCTGTACATCCAAAACATAATGAAATTTAAAATTGTTCAAAATCTGGGAGATAAATTTTCTATGAAAGAGTTAAATAGTTAATATTCATAATATAAAAAGCTCACACAAACTGATATCACCAAAAACACTCTTGAAAAATAGAACATAGTTTACTACAGAAACCCAAGTTGCTGACATATTTAGAAATATGATAAATGATCAACTTCATGAAAAGAATGAGAGGAATATCAGTTTAAATGAGCATACTTTTTTTCTTTCCACAAAATTAGCAAAGCTTCCTCCTTCATGAAAGCAAATGGTAAAATGCTGCGGTGGCAAGGGCAGATGAAAAGGTACTCCCCTGATGGTTGGAAAGGGTCTGGCAAGTTCCTTTGAAACTTCATGCAAATTTGACTGGAAGAAAACACCAAAATGCTAATAATTATCTCCAGAGACTAAATATAGATGTTTTTCATCTTATTTATATTTTACTATTGAAACTTGTGTGTATATACCAAATATTTTAATAATGATTTTATTTTAAAGATGAGGATGAATAAATCAGGCTACATTTACTTTACAAACAATATGCCATGCATTTTAACTGTCCTTTTTTTGGGCTAATAGTTTGTTTTTACCATTTTTGTTTGTCTTTTTTTCCAGGGAATCTTGGACATTGTAGTCCTAAGTAAAGGATATACAAAAAATGATTTTGCCATCCATACACTAAAAAACAACTTTGAAGCAGATGCTTATTTTGTTAAAGTCATTGGTGAGTAAAGTATTAACATTTACTTTTGTTCTCTCTGTCTCCCCATCACTCTGCGTATTCCCAAGAGCAAGGACATGCTCCAATGTACAACCCTCTAGATCAGATCAACATGAGTACAGCACCATCCTGTCTATATACATAGACCCTATTCAGATTTTGCCAGCTGTCCCAGTAATATTCTTTTTTCTTTCTGGCCCAGGATTCTATCCAGAAATATCTATTGCATTTAATTGTCCCATCTTTTCAGTCTTCCTCAATCTGGACCAGTCTTTTCCTATTTTTCGTGTCTTTATCAGTTTTAAAGAATACAAGCTTTGCATTCTGTGAGACAGCACTGTTTCCTCATTACCCAACTTAGGTCATGAATTCTTTGCAGAAATTCCACTGCAGGGAATTATAGAACTGACACTGTGCATTTCTTAGTGTATCATATCAGGAAGCACATGATCTTGACCAGTCCTACCACCATGACATTAACCTTGCTCATCTGGTCACGTTGATGATCACCAAGTTTCTCTACTCTACACTCACTGTTTTTCCCTTTGTAATTCGTTAGTTTTGGGGGGCAATATTCTAATATTACATTAATAGCCTTTTCTTTATGAGACCTTTCCCTAGCACCTTTAGAGTACATTGACAACTGCCTGAATCAACCTTCTACATTTGTCAACCAGCGATTCTCTGTTTCCATCAATTGACATTCTGTTGTTCATCTTGTATCTCCCTTGCCCCAAGCCTGCAATCAGACATTTCTCCAAGGAGTCTTGGTTCCTTTTAGTAGAGAACAGTATTTCAAAACCACATTCTGAAATGGTTGCCCAGTGTGCTAGTTGCTACTGGGTTATCATTTCTTCCAGGTTCTCTCAATGGAGAGAGAATACAGGTGTTGATTCACATATGCACATACAAATGTACACATTTGTAACTATATTTACATCTATTTATATTTGCATATACTAACTATAAAACCATGAATCATCACTATAATTTCATTTTTAATCCAAAAGGAGCACTTCAGGGTCTCTTCTAATCTTGTCTCTTTTTGTAGATAGCTCTCCCAGCAGTGAGAAATGTGACTTCTGTTTTTCTCATTGTGTACCTATTTGTTCACTGCAACCAATGCCGGTAGTGTCCTCCACTTGACACCTGTGTTTGTCATAAAGACCCCGTACATATTTTGTTGAGTGCATGCTTAAGTATTTTATTTTCTTTAAGATGGCTATAGAGGATATTGTGTTTTTAAGTTTTGCTTCCACATATTGTAGTATATGGATATGAAATTTATTTTTGTTTGTCAATCTTGTGTATACAGTGACCTTGCTGATTCTAGAAGGATTTTTTGTAGATTCCTTGGGATTTTCTACACAGACAACTTTGTCATCTGCAAAGAGAGATAATTTTCTTGCTAATCCATATGCCTTTTTTTTTTCTTGTGCTGGCTAGAATTTTCATTTACTGTGTTGAATAAGTGGTGAGCGTGGACATACTTGTCTCGTTTCCAGTCTTAAGGGGATATAACATTTTATCTTTCATACTTAAATGTTATATAGAGTTTTTTGGTAGATGCTCTGTATATACTAAAGAGGTTCTCCCTATTCCTAGTTTGCTGAGGGTTCTATCATGAACTGGTGTTTGAGAAGTGACTGTTTTTGCATTACTATTGTAATAGCCAACACCAGGAGAGCCATATTGATTTGTTTGTCAACAAAATGACACATGTACTTTGTAGAAATATTTATTATGGGTTTGAAATAAGCATAAATAGCTGAACACAGAAAAGCAACAGAATAACAGATTAGTGTTGAGATTTATTTTGAGAGATAAAACTGATAAAACATGCATTCTTCCTTTCTAAATGGCAAATTCAGTCTTATTTGAACTAAGAGTTCCACCCATCTTCCTTATTACTGCAGCCACAAAATACTTATACATCAATCTAATAATTTCTGTACTTTTTATTATCCATTTCCTGTCTGTTGCCATTTTCAAGAAAGTACTATTTGGCTATGTTGAAGCTAAAAAAATTTAAATATACGGTTTATTTGGTATGCTATTAATTTTATAGTTTGAAATACATTTTCTTATCTCTGTCCTTCTTCAACTGGACACCTCTAGATAAGACAGCGAGAATTCTTAAAAGTTTTGCTAACCCTAATTGTGTATGTAATTAGAATAACCAAGTTCAGTTAATTGGAACAAAGAGATTTTGGAGTAAGAGTTTGGGATTTGATTCCTTAGGGATAAACTACTAAATCCAGTACAGCCATTTGACGGCTACAGATTTTGGTTCCCAGGTGAACTAAACAGAAGTCACATATTTATAGGATAAAAATAACTAAAAAAAAAAATCAGTCCTCCCAGAACTTTGGGAGGCTGAGGCAGGTGGATCACTTGAAGTCAGGAGTTAAGCCCAGCCAACATGGTGAAATCCCTGTCTCTACAAAAATACAAAATTTAGTTGGGTGTGGTGGCATGTAACTATAGTCCCAGCAAATCTGGAGGCTGAGGCTGGAGCCTAGGAGGCAGAGGTTGCAGTAAGCCAAGATCATGCCACTGCACTCCAGCCTGAACTACAGAGCAAGGCTCTGTCTCAAAAAAGAAAAAAAAAAAAGAATTAAAATCAAATCCGTTATTTTACCTTTGATCATGAGCATCATCCTTCTTGGTGAAGAACAGCACACTTTTAGTCTTCATTTGTTTAAATATCAAATTTAATCTTGCCTTCCTCCATCCATTTCAGAATACTTGGCAAGCACTCTGAAATCTAGGCTTATTTACTTGTGTCCTTGGCATTGGCATCTCTCTTACTCCTAGTATACTATAATGATCCAAGCAATTTAAGAGTAGCATCTGTCTTATTTCTCTTTGATTGTCATGTGCCTAACACAGGGCCTGGTACATAGGAAGCGTTCAGGAATTTATTTCAAATAAATAGCCAGCTATCTTTTGAGGCCTGGATTGGCTATCTTGATTAACAATGTTCCCCTCTTCTCTAGTACCTAAGCAACAGTTGATGCCTCTGACCCTTCTGTGTCTCTAAGAAGCATTCTGCCAAAATAGGTGAAATGCCAATTCAAAGTCAGATTTCTACCTTGACTTGTTTGCTGATATTAAGGACACAACTAGTCAATTGTTCATTTCTTGAAAAGATTGAAATGCCCTTTCCTAGCTTAGCTTCTCAAGTCTACCCATTTTGCAGATTCTCTGTGACTGAAAACTCTAATTTACATAATTTTTCATGCTTACACCAAAAATGCACAGAAAAATTTAACACGTGATGAGTAACTGCATTTTTCCTCTCATTATTTTAATGGGATCCTATAAAACTCACCATTTTGCTTCAACCTAGAATAAGTGTGATTTGCTTCAAAAATATACATTAAATTGGAATTAATAATTCTCTTTCAAAATATTGTTTTCTATTTAATGAGATAACTGTAGGCTTTTTCCTTCTTTCATTTGAATTTTGCCGGTATACTTCAGTAAACTTTTTTGAGATAGAGTCTCACTGTGTTGCCCAGGTTGTAGTGCAGTGGAGCGATCTTGGCTCACTGCACCCTCGGCCTCCCAGGTTCAAGCGGTTTTCATGCCTCAGCTTCCCGAGTGGCTGGGATAACAGGCACGTGCCGCCATACCTGGCTAATTTTTTGTATTTTTAGTAGAAACAAGGTTTCGCCATGTTGGCCAGGCTGGAGCCAGTGTACATTAAAGGAACTATTTTCTCAAGTCTGAAACTTAAAAAAAAAAAAAACATAGATTCATTACTTAGTTCATCTGAATGTGGTATGTGCATGTGCCTACTTGGACAGATTAAAGATTAATTCTTTCTAGAACAGATGTTAGGCATTAAGTACCAAGGAAAATTTCAAGTGCAAGAGATATTCATCTGTATATTGTTAGAACAAATCAAGTTCTCCCTGTGCTCATCAAGTTATTTTGTTCAAGGTTTGAAGCCACTTTTATACTAAAAGTTCTGTTTTATACTCTTAAAATAGAATGTGATTGAACTATTTATACTTGTGGCAGTTTTGCTGACTAGCATGAGGGCCCGTGACTTCACTGCTTTCCATGCTCAAGTCTGCAGGCCCTTTCATCACACAGGTTTCCAGCCAGGTAGAATGGATGGGAATTAGAGCATAGGGTTTTTGTAACATTGATAAGATAGTCCAATTCCCAGTTGTAATAATAATAATAATATTCTAAAGAGAGAAGGCATTTCTAAGGGTGAAGCAAAAGAAGGTCTGAATTTTTTTTGTATTGATCATTTAGAAATTATCCACATGGAAAAATGTGCCCATATAATTTAGGGTCCCAAGTTCTTCCTTGGCATTTATTCCTTTACATTTTTTTAAATTAAAAAAACAAGATCTTAGATATGGGAGAGAAAAAAATCTCAAAAGGCATCTTGCCCAAGTCTAACCTAATGCAACATCTTAGTCAGCTTCTGCTTGAATGCTTTGTACCAAAGGAGACCTCACCTGCTCATAACGCAACATCGACTTCTATGAATCAGTTTAGTTGTTAGAAAACTTAAGTCAAAATGTGCATATTTAGTTACTTCTGTCCATTGATACTCATGTCTGGCATATAGTAGGCCCTTGATTAGTGTCTGTTGAATTTTTTCAATAAAATTACTATATCTTTTATTGTTAAAGCAGACCCTAAAGTAGGGGTCCCCAAGCCCCAGGCCTCAGACCAATACCATTCTGAGGCTATTAGGAACCAGGCCACGCAACAGGAGGTGAATGGCCAGAGTGAGCAAAGCTTCACCTTTGTATTTACAGCTGCTCCCCATCGCTCGCCTGAGCTCTGTCTCCTGTTAGATCAGCAGCAGCATTAGATCCTCTTAGGAGGGCGACCCCTGTTGCGAACTGCACATGTGAGGGATCTAGGTTGTATGTTCCTTTTGAGAATCTAACATACCTTCATACCTTGTGATCTGAGGTAGAACAGTCCTGAAACCATCTCCCGCCTGACCCCCATCCATGAAAAAATTGTCT